GTGAGCACTTGCTTGCCTTCCCTCGTCTTACATTGGATTAAACTTGATTAAATTAGATTTAGTAAAATAAATGAATGTACAAAATGAAAAGTTTGGCAGAGCAGTAGGAAAGTAGCACTATTTGTTTTGAGTATGGCAGGATATACTGTATGTACTGTGGGTTACCTAAAGGGTTAAAAGGCTGTAAATACATATTTAATTATAGCATTTGTATTTTTAAAAGTCAGTTTAATTGACTCACTCTGCAACAATGTCAGTTCAAGCCTTAAAACATTATATAAATGCAGCACATATTATATTTGTTGTCAAAGGTAATAAGGTGGCCCTGAATAAATAATCCTTGGTGAGACAGCGACATAATCACTGCATATTCATTTACATTTTCTGCATTTACTTTGCAATAATCATCAGCATCATTGTTATTAAAAATGTTAATTTTAGCAAAGGTTTACTGAGACACGCTCCTATTCAAATGTATTAATTAAAATGTTAATATCCCCTCTGACATGCAGAATGCAGCATGAAAGGTGACTATTTGTTCTAGAGATTGCACTTTGCTGTTGTTTTATCCAAGTCTGGACATTCGCTTTGAGGTGAGACATACAGATGCACAAGTCAGGCACGAGCAGAGTCTGTTTTAGCACCTCTACTTATTTACAGCAGTTTCCACTGAATTTTGGATAATTAAAAAGCTCCACGGTTTATCTGTGCTTAAGTTAATTGGCCACACAGTTTACAGTGAATTTCACTGAAAACACTTGCATTAGGTTTGGTGGGGACTCGAAGGAAGGTGGTGATTAAGAGGGATAGCATGTACTGTATGTGTGTATTTCTGTTTTAACAATTATAAGGAGTTACTGAAAGTGCCAGCAGCAAGTTTTAACCTAGTTTTAATATATATAAACGTAAAAATGATAATTCTGTAAATAACATGACCTCTCATTCAAGCACATAAAGATGTACTAAAGCAGGAAAACTACTCCAAACAGCACCATCCAGACAAAATAAGCCTTTGACAGGGGATTTTTCTGTAGATTAAAGTCAGCAGCCTGCTAAACAGAACAATTGTTTCGCTAACAACTATTTATTTGACCTTAAGCGCCTGGTGCCGATACAAGGAAATGTTGCACCTGTACACAGCCTAGCCTGAAACCAACAGCGTCTAACTGTTGCAGTTTGACGAGGGCCATACATAAATGCATTGTAGTGAATGTCTTCCTTTGAAGCCCGAACTAAATCAGGCTGAAGTCTCTGAGAACAACAAAAAGGTGCTACCTGTATAAATGCATCTGTCGATTTTCAAGCCACAGAGGTGGTATTACAGACTAGCCCTGGGGCGAGGAAAACTGTGTCTGGGCTTAGTTTGTGTGGGAGGACTAAGCTGGTGTGAGAAACTGGCACAGTTTAATGTGTAGGGATGTGTAGGATCGCAGAACCCGAGGCTTCATATCCATCAACAGTTATCAATAACTAGTGTGGATCTGTATTACTGCTCAAACACCTGTTTCTAAATGTTGGCAGGAAATTGTCGAGGGAGGCGTCAACATGACAGAAACATTAGAAATCTGAATTATCTCAGGGTAATTAAGCAGAAACCCTATTACAGGAAAAAAAAATATCACTTGAGTCAGAAGCTGATTTCCCAAAGACAAACTTTGGCTTAGATCTAACAAATAGGACTAACTTGCTGGGATTTCTGGGCACATTATATCTATTTTCACACTAAAAACATGGCCATGAACAAGAAGGGAAGAAGTTGGAAGCAACTAACCAGGAGCATCAAATATACAGTATTATGCACAAATAAAAGTTATAAAAACAAGAAGAAGTTTTAAAACAAACCAGACCAATAAAAACGTCTACAGGAAGACCACTGTGGCCTCCTGGGAAATAAGAGGTTAAGCTAAATTTCAGTGGGTGGGTCTAAGGCATTGAGAACAGCAGGGGAGATGAATTGGACGTGTCCAAGCATCCATCAAGGTTCAGCCCAGTCTCATCATCCCCATCGAGCCACCTCACTACCATTAATATTCAAGTATGCAGAGTCCCGCTTGAAGCCAGAGCTCTACTCTATCATATCCAGCAGCAACTGGAAATGTGTGTGTGTGTGTGTGTGTGAGAGAGAGAAAGAGAGGGAAAGGGAGAGATAGGACTCTCTGGGGGCTTGTGCCTCAACTCTACAGCCTTTGTGGGCACCCATTACTTCTGACAGATAGAGATCACTAAACTGCTGAACAAACACCCCATTCAGTCATTTGCATACATTACAGTAATGGAAAGAGAAAAATGTATCAATAAAGCCGAATGAAGCGCTTCCACTAAGTTCTGCTGTCTCTCTTTCGTCCATACTTTTCCCCTCTTTCTTATTTCTTTATTTCCATATTTCATAACTGTTGTCTGTTGGGGTAATTTTCTCCTGCTATTAATTTATTGGACTGACTTCCTCAGATAACTGATAAAAGATTCTCAGAAATTGTTTGCAATAGAAATTTTTCTTTATAATGGGTAAAACCAAAAATTTCTGAAGTCTAAACAAATTATGAACACAAATCATGTGTGGTCAAAAAAACAACCATTTATTGTTGAAGGTTTAATTAAACTATGCTGCTTTGGGGCACACACTATATTTAAAATACCTTGCAGTGACCATAGCCTCCTGAAATTAATCTCAGTAAAAAGCTGACAAGAGTCACAGTGAAACAAAGGCGCATGTTCTCACCTACGCATGCAGTGCAAATTACTCTCTTCCTTTCTCTCTGTAACACACACAAATGCAGACTGACTCATTCATCACAGTGCCCAACAGTCAAGACAATAGCGCCTCACTTAACTTTTTCCGGGTTGCTCAAGCATCAAATGCATGACTTTTAGCTGTTGTTGTTCTTCCATCTGTCATGCTACAAGAAACCACCATTCTTTTTTTTTTAATCCCAGGGAAAAGTTTAAAAGGTGTGTTTGCCTTGACACTGCTGTCTTATTTGTACCAAAGCAAATGTAAACCCAAAATATACAGCACTGTGTTTCATTGTCACTGTTCCAACACTTAGCTGTGCAACACAGATTAGAGTGCTACCTAAGCTCACTGCAAACACTGGTACCAAAAACCTCAGCAAATCAAGCACAGCCTCCGTTCTCTAGCTCTTTATCTCCCTGTTTGCTCAATGTGTACAAGGTTTCATTTCCATCACCATGCTCGCTTGCACAAAAACAGCCCAACATCTGATATCTTAGGAGGTTTAAACTGGTAGAAAATATTGTCCTGGGTGACAGACTTCACAGAAGTGGGTTAAATTAAAACACACATGTATACACACATATACACAAATGTCCTACAGTAACTAACAGACCCATGACTTCAAAGGTACTTGGCCAAATGTGTACTTACATCCTATTTCACTATATACTTGTACTATGTACTATGCAAATTAAGGCACCACATTTCTACTGTATAGTAGAAATAAAAACTTTCCTGACACTTTGTTATCATGACATTATTATGAATATTATCACATTATTAAAAACAGGAGACCAAACACTCCGGGAGACAGCGAGACAACAAATGTGCATGCACTTTTCATAATTTGACTCCTTCCTGTGCCTGTGTGTGAAAATTATGATAACTACAGAAATTCTGTCACTTGTAAAAACAAGGGGAAAGAAACAACGGTACCATTAACCATTATGAAAACACTTCAAAATGGAAAACAACTCAGGTAGATGAAATACATATGATTGTCATAGTTTTCTGTGCATGCCTACTTTAAATAAGGCAAATGCATATCTTAATAAACCCTACTAAGTCTCCATCCTGGCAGCAAAACTCGGGTGAGAAGGGAAGAAGGAGAGAGAGAGAGAGAGGAGGAAGTGGGGTGTTTCAGGTCTTGGCCAGCCAGCTCCTCTCTGGCGCTCTCTGGGGAGGAAGTCCAGACAGTGAGGGAGAGCCATGCTGCAGTATATCTACACTTCTCCATTTCCTCTCACTCAAGCCTCTAATTCTCGAAGGAGCTTGGGAATCGATACTGACATGGAGGGGCAGAGCAGCTTTCTTGCCTGCCTGCTCTGCCTCAGAGCTGCCACCAGGGAGGTCTCTGCTTCAGTTTTTTAATTACACAAATTTAAGTGCCCTTCTTTGACTGAGAGCAGATTGTTAATGTGTTAGGAGGCTATTATTCTTATACCACCCAATGTGCAAAGTCAGCTAAGATAAATCTCAGACAAAAGGAAGCAAAAATCAGGTTAAATGCTGTCTTACATGTGGGTGCCTAACATATGGAAACACCTACTCACTTGTTCAATTACACTTCAGTAATTCTTTCTTTTCTTAATAATGCCAGAAACAAAAGAGAAGACACTGCTGACTGCTTTACTGTTTTCCATGAAATGCACCCAGCTTCAGGGTATTGACAATAGACTTGATTTCCACCACTGATCAAACCTATGGCTTTCCTCTTCAAAAGGGGCTTTCAAGAAACTGCAGAGACATGGCTAATTCAATTTGCGAGCAGAGATGCTGGGGTTTAAGTGAAACACTCTGTTATCGAAACAGGAGAGGTGCCATGAGAGAAGATCCACGGATGGTTGTGTGGAGGGACTCGTGGTCAGTCAGGAGATGAAATCAGGAATAAGTGATAAGTTGGTATGAGGGGCTAGAGCCCCTATTAGAGCCCCCCAGGGGACAGGCAGTGGTGGCAGAGTGCAGTAAAAATAGCCACAGACATGATTTCACTCTTGGGACGCAGGGAAGAGTGAGGCGGGAGATCGGATCAACATCTCACAGCGTGGCAGTCAGATCCATTCCCTGAGTTCCCTTGGGTGCCACCTATCACACCAAGTGACTTAAACACCTTCCCGCTGCCAGGCAGAGCACAAACAACACACGCTTGCCACTGCCGTTGACAAAACGGTGCATGGCGTGTTCTAATACGCCAGAATGTGTTTCTGAGAAGCAAACCAACACAAAGCTATGCAAAAAGTAACAATAAACACATTAAAAAGGATATCGACATCTTTTCCACAAACTTATCTCGTTGGTCCTCCGTTTTGGGGAAGTTCTCAATGTCATTCTCAAGCCTCTGAATGTGACGTTCCATGGAGGTCAAACTGCTCTTTAAAATCTCAGCTGACACTAGAAAAAGGCAACAAAAAGACATATAATTAAATTAAACATTAGCAACAATTTGACTCATATTACATTTATTAAATTGCTTCCATTAAATGGAAAGTCATAATGTCCCTGAAAACATTGTGGAAATGTAAATAAAAATGAGCTACAGCATGTTTGACTGTATTTCGTGACATAGTGACTCCTGAATAATCCATTTGTGTGTGTGGCCTAGAAAGCAAGTATGTGCGAATGTGTGTGTACAGTGTGTGTGTCTACAGTGGCTCATTAATCAGTCTGTAATCACTGTTTGCAGAGCTGCTGTGGAATCCAGTTTTTAGATCAGGCCTTTCAAGTGGAGACTTCAAACGGCAATAAGTGTCTTAGGGGATCAGACAGAACCGGAACACAGATGCATTACCGTGTTTAGGTTGTCAGTAAGGCTTTAGTTTTATTGATACACACACATAACTTCTCACACACACATACGTACACACATCAAGAGTTTATACATTTAATAACTGGTGTCAAAAATATTAATTTCAGGTTACATGCAAAACTACTTCTACCATTCAAGATAGACCTTTATATGACCTTATATACTGTATTCTATGTAAATTTACTGCAGTTCATACTTTTTTGCACATGTTAATTCCACAAGCATTGTTAATTCTCTGTAATAAACATGCCCTGCTGCATGACAATTCTAGCAAACTGATCAGTAATAGATATGAGGGATTTTGTTTTGACAGGCAGTTGAAATCACTGGTGTCTATAGCCCTTTTCAGACACGCACTGGAACCCTGAAATTATCTAGACCAGTGGTTCTCAAATGATGGCAAGTCCAGATGTGCCATGGGATTTTGTGACAACTGCGGTATACAACGATAGAAAAAGCCATTTGTAGTGAGAAGCTAGTTAATACTAATGTGGTGCCAAGCAACTAGAAGAGGTACCTGAAACCAAACATCCCTTCTTTGTTGAGAGAAATGTGGCCTTAAGAGCACAAAATCTGCACCAGAGGGAGCAAGACTGTTTGTGGCATTGTGTGATAAGGTGACGGAGGAAAGTAGCGGAGCTTATTGCAAAGTAGAATGATGGTTTTGTTTGCTGATGACACTACCATATGGGCATCGGGTGAAAACCTACAGCAACTCTCTAGACGGGTTTCACAGGAACTTGAGAAGATAAAGAAATGGTGTGACAGTAATATACTATCTCTGAATTTGGATAAAACTAAATTTATGGTATTTGGGAATTGTAGATTAGATAATGAACTTCAATTGAAAATTGGGGGAGCTAATATAGAATGAGTATATGAAATTTAATTTCTAGGTGTCATAGTTGATGACAAATTCTCCTGGAAATTGCATATCAGATATGTTCAGAACAAAATAGCAAAAAATATATCGATATTGGCAAGGGTTAGATATATTTTGGACGGGAAAGCACTACGTATTTTGTATTCTTCATTGATTTTACCATACTTACAGTATGCCGTTGAAAACTGGGGAAATACATACAAAAGCTCACTTCAACCATTGTATATATTACAAAAAAGAGCGATAAGAATTGTGCATAAGATGGGGTATAGGGATCACACAAATGGAGCTTTCATACAGTCTAAATTGTTAAAATTTTTTGATTTAGTGGGATATAAGACTGCAGTGTTTATGTATAAAGCCAGGAACAATTTATTACCTGGTGGAATTCAAAAACTATGTAATGAAATGGTAAATGGACTGTATTTTATATAGCGCTTTCTCACAGTGTGTTGCACTGGCCAAAGCGCTTTACAGAAGATCATACACCATTCACCCATTCACACACAACATTCACACACCGATGACGACAGGCTGCCATGCACCGGCGCTAGTCAAGCCACCGGGAGCAATTCGGGGTTCAGTGTCTTACTCAGGGACACTTAGGCATGCGGGGAGACCGGGAGTTGAACCACCAACTTGCTGGTCAGGAGATGACTGCCCTACCTCATGAGCCACAGCCAAAGGGAAGGGGGATACAATTTAAGGGGTCAGTTAAATTTAAAAATTCATGCTATACGTACAACCCAAAAAAGATTTTGTATTTCCATAAGTGGAGTAAAACTATGGAATAATTTAAGTGTGGACATTAAAAATAGTAATAGAATTGATGAGTTTAAACATAAATATAAAGGTATGTGTCAATCAAGATATATGCAAGAACAGGCTCAATGATTAATTAGATGGAACATTGTGGGTGTGGGGTATGAATGTTAACACTTTGTAATAATTCTTTAGTATATTACTTGTGTGGTGTAGAAGAGAATCATTTACTGCTTGCAAACCAATGATGGTAAGATGATGTCAGGGGGTAGGACTGGATAAGTCTGACTTCTTCCTACTCCATTCAAGCATGTACTAGGTATAAGCAAATTGATATTGGATTATGTGTAAAATTATGTGTGTTGTCATATCAACTGTCTTTACATGCTTGAAAGAATAAATCAAATCAAATCAATGTTTTTTATTCCAACTCAGTACATATTCTTCTCTGTTGGCATGTATTCACTGTTTATATGCAAATTAGTTTTTATTCCCAGTGCATCGCTCTTCTTAGTTTGATCATAAGTAGTGATTATATCTTGAAGCTTCCCTCTCATGCCAGATATACCCCTCCTCTCTCACTCACTCATTTTATGTCATAAGTAAATAAAAATAAATGTTAATAGAGTGACAAGGCCGATAACGTGGTACAGACGCTCTTTTCCATGGACATGAATACAGGCGTGCCTTGTGATTTTGGTTTTCCATGTGGTTTGCCTTGGCCCCAAAAAGTCCAAAAAACCACTGATTTAGACATTACCTAGGAGAGCTGTATGTCAGAACCTAAAAGTCTGACTTTACTCTGCCAGCTCCCTAGTACAAAGTCCACTTAAGGTCCAGGTGAGCTTGAGTTAACTCCCTAGTACAAAGTCCACTTAAGGTCCAGGTGAGCTGGAGTTAGCCCATGTGAGAATACAGCAGCATACAGTCCAGAATATTCACCCGGAGCTAGTGAGCATGTTGATGACATTCTATCACGTGACCGGCGTGAAACTGGAAGAATACAAACATCTGATGGCAAAGAAAAATGGTCAATTACAATGAAGACGCCAACGAAAATATCTAACTGGAGACATGATGAGATTTGGGAACTTTTGTTAAGAGCTGGTGCTAAAATCAGACAAATTGAAGGTATGGCAGGACACTCGGTTGTTTATGACCAAACTACAAACATGAACATGCACACACACAAACTGTCTGCTGTGATCAGTCTAGAAGCAACACATTAAGAGTAAAGGGTGAGGGCACTGTCATTATTAGTCTACAGCTAGCTGGCTGGCTGGATGGATTCAAAACCCTTCCTCCTCAGTTCTCACAGAACTGACTCCTGGGGATGACAGTGAGAAAACCACACTATCACATAGCCTGTTTCTCCAGTGATAGGGCCTCTGAGATCCACATGCTCTTGTCACAATGATCTCAGCCTCACTAATGGTGAAAAAGGAAAATGAACAGCATGGAAGGTGGACAGATGGATGCAAGAGAAGAAACAATCAAAATGACATAGCTTTATTGAGCCATCGGAAGGTTTTTGTCATTACCGTGGCTTATGATAGTTGCTTGTGGCATGTGTAATAGTACTGGGTAACAATTTGGCTGTAACACTGACGAGTAACCATGGTAGCCAAGAAACAGTAGCTAAGGTTAACTGCAGTGATGTCATAGAGGAGCCATTTGCAGGATAAGAATGAAGCAATGGGAATACAGTACAGATTACATGAAAATTACTTGTCACTGAGACACTGAACATACTTATTATATACATTATTTTTTGATGCTATAGGCAGGTACACTGTTTAGAAATGTATATTTATTAGTATTACTACCCTTCTTTCCTCAAATAATCTACAAAAATGACCACAAAAATAATGCTGCTATATTTCCAGCAGGTGAGAAACAGCAACACTGGAATCTTCTGAATACAAATTTCAACTTTATCAGAGGAGAGAGAGCTGTATATTCCGTTTTTCCAGTCAGAGAGGATTTCTGACACATAAAATTACTCTAATGACTGTTGTCAACAAGGTCAGCCAAAGTCCTTCATTGACAGAGAAGTAAAAATAAAAAAAAGGTAACATCTTACAAAAATAAAAAGAAAAGTTAAGTTGTCTGCTGTACTCTTTAGTTGGTTATGCCCTTGTCAAGCAATAGAGACAACTGCACTTTAGTATGGGGGGCATGAAAAAGTACAAAAAAGACAAAAGCCATTTGAAAAACAAGAAGTTAACTTATGTGAACAATACAGACGATGTGAAAAACTCCTGTGGTCAACATCCTTCAGTTATTGACATGAGCTGGGTATTACGGGCCCTTGATGCATTACTCATTCCCATGAACAAAAGCCGGACAAAAACAATTTCATTAAGCTTTGCCCTGCTTCCTTCGGAAAAGCTGTGAGGGAAAAATACTGTGTAGCTCACAATACCAAATCAGGCGCTATAATGTGAAGATGTCAACTTTATATTCAGTCATTTGTAGAAGGGGGCAATTTTCATTTTGATTTATAGACAAATAATAACAATCTTTCATCCAGTGCTCTTGCGATGCCGCCAAAGGTTACAAGGGAAATTGAGATTTATTCTCAACATTGCTGCCAACGTAGCATAAAAGATCAAGTTTTAAATAATCTACACACTTGTGAAAACAAAGACAAATGCAACATAAAACTAAAGGAGAAGGTCGTTCATAAATGCATTCATCACCTAAGCCAAGCAAGTGTATGTTTGTGGGAGCAGAAAGGAAGAAGAAGAGAGACAGACACAGATGAGAAGCATAAACGCAGAGAGTGGAAATATGTTATAGGATGTCTACCTGTTTTGGTAGGTATGATATGATGATAAGTTTGTTCAAATATATCTGAATAATGTGATAATTATGATGAAGATAACATGCTACATATGGTGATGGACCACTGAAAAGGGTTTAAGGAGCATGGTTCAG